TAGCTTTTAATGAGAGTGTTTGACCTGCTTTAATTTCTATTTTCCATTTATTTCCACAAGTGGCTGGATCTCTGGGGCATTACGGTAACTGGGCAAAGGGGGTGATATTAGATTCTGCAGAGATATAAATAATGGCTTCCACATTTACCGTATTTTTACAGGAATCTTGGTGTTCTTGTCTGCTCTTCAATGTGTGATATCGGTGGGATCATAACTCCATTCATCGTCTATAGGCTGGCAGATGTCTGGCATGAACTTCCACTTGTTGTCTTTGGTAAGAATATGAACTACTTCTTTTATGTTGAATGCGGGTAGATTATTCATTCTTGAACAGGGAGCTGTGGTTCTCCAGATGTCACTGAACTGCAATTCTCAGCTGCCCCAGTTAGGGATAGGAGAGAAATCAAATTTAAATGTGAACCTAGCTAATTTTCACTTTCTGAAACAATATGCAAACCAATGCAGCCATCCATTGAAATACACAGTTCTCTTAATTTTGCAATGCCAGCTTGGTCAATGATCAAGGATGCTGGTAGTTGTGGTTCAGCAATATCTGGAGGACCACAGGTCCTGCCTCTGAGGCATTATGGGGAAGGATCTGCATCTGTAGGGAGCCATAGGCAGATCAAGCTCTCATCCATACCACTTTTGAATGCATTCAGTCATAAGTCTGTTCCATGCTCTTTCCACATTATTCTCCAAATTCATACTCAAATATCCCTAGCTAAGGTAGGTATACCTAATGGTGAAGAGGACCAGATAGAAGCTGACAGTAAACCTGCAGGCAGCTCCTATAATTGAACAAAATATCCAAAGGATCTTGGTGACCCAACTCCTGTATACTACTTGAACGTATGTTTGCTTTTCTGACAGCTAGGCTTAGATTCCTTCCTTTACCTCAGAGGTTTCTTGGCAAGACATTACAGCTACGTTTCTATAGTCCTCTCCCAAAAAAACCTAACTCCTGCTGTCAAAAACAATCTACATCATGCTATTCTGCTAAACAATTTGTTTTTATCAAATTATTGTGTAATGTTATTCTCCATTGCAAATCAGGGATAGTTTTAGAATGGCAAAGAGAAAGGAGATTAGGGTTACAGAGGAGCATAAAGGCAGGGTTGCAAACGACAGAACCAGTAGGAATAGCCAGGGAATGGTGCAGAGCAAAGCTGCCCTACCCTTTTGAAATCTGGCAGTATAACAGCCCTGCTACCTGCCTAAGCATCTCCAAGAATAACCTTGTCCAGGCATTTGTTTCTGCATACATGGCAACAGCACATGCACCAGCAGTGTGCCCAACTGACTTGGGATCAGCTCAGTCTGGAGGGAGCTGCTTCAACATCTGTAGGGCAGGTGTTGGAAACTGCCCCATCAACCCCCTTCACACTGAGCCAATCAAGAGTCATTGTTGAAGGGATGAGTCTTATTCCATGTATTCCTCCTGGCAGCTTCACACAATAGATATCTGCGGGTACCAAACACCTAAGCAGGACTTGAAAGAGTTCAAATATAGGAGCTGTCAGTCTTAGAATTCTGAAAATATTCTCTCAGTGACAGAAAGCTACTCCTCAGAAACAGGGACTTCAGTTCTAGAACACATTATCTGCATACTCACATCCTTTTTCAAATGCCCAGATATGGTACATTCAGAGCAAATTCAGAGGAAATCACCTCTGGACATTTGAAAAAGGATGTGAATATGCAGAGATACTCTGAAATGTAAGTGATACATTTGATCTATATTCTCACTGTGGTGAATTCCTAGGAACTGCAGCTGATTCTCCTATCTAAGGAGGATTCTGGAGAAAATGAGATCACTCATAAAATAGGCTGCAGGTGGGGAGAGGAAGAGAACTTGCATCTACATGCTGCCATTTCCTTTAATACAGTTCAGCAGTATCTTATTGGCACGACTTAAAAATTGCTATAGTGCCTTAGTATCGTTTCACATAGGATGGTCTGTCTCAACTGATCTTTTGTTTGTGCCGTGTGTCTGAAGCTGTGATTGGTCTCATTGACGGTGGCTTGGTTCTGCTCTTACCTGAAACCAAAGGAAAAGCTTTACCTGAGACTATTGAAGATGCCGAAAATATGCACAGGTATGGTCCTGTATAACATATTTTATAGAGAAAGGCATTCTTAGTGAATGAGAGCTCTAGCTGGGCATTCAGCAGTGCCAGGAGGAAAGGGGAGTGCCTGGGGGGCATGTGTTCCACACGGGGTGAGATGCCTTGATCTTCCTGTGTTGAGCCAGGTGTGATGAGGTCTGAACTGAATTCCTAAATGACTTTGAAGGAAGGTGCTTAGAATGCTGATAAGGCAGAGGTCTCAATCTAACTGCATTCAGCAGAGAGTGGTAAGAAGCCCACTCCAGGCCTTCATACTCAGCCTGTGAAGGTCTTCTGTGTGGGCTCAGTAGTTGGAAGTGGAGCTCATACTCGGAACCCCACTGCCCTTTTCACACATTCATGTTGCTTGCCTGAAGAAGGTGGGTAGGAACGACATATGGCCAGCAGGAGGAATTGTTAGAGAGGAGCAACGAGCAAAAACTAAATTTAGATTTGGAGAGTGTGATTTCCCATTACAGGGGCAAATGAAATCAGGGCTGGGGGGTGGTCACAGCTGGAGCCTGAAATGCATGATAATGTGGGTGATAATGTCCTGTTGGTCAGACAAAGGCAGAAAATTAGGCTCCTAATATTTATACCAGACTGGCCAATATGGAAGCATCATTGTTCCTGCCAATCATATGGCATATGTCTGTTTCTTCCTAAGGTTTTGAATATAGGTACGGCAGTTAATTTTTGGCGATCACTTGTAGCTGAGTAAGATTGTCTTCCATAAACACAGTTTAATCAATGAGTCCGTAAGTGACTGTGGAGGCCAATTCTGGATCCACGTGTCCTTCCACAGTGGGGACATAGGTTTCCAGGTGGGAGTTGATCACGGTGAGGGTTTGCCAAATGTGCCTTCCTCTTAGCACGTTTCTCCCTTTCATTCTGAGTTTGAGTGTCTTCAAAGCCCATGACACCTTTGGTAAAGGCTGTTCTCCAACTGGAGCGCTCGCAGGCTATTGTTTCCCAATTGTTGGTGCTTATACTACATTTTTTTTAATTGACCCTTTAAATTTTTAAAGTGACCCTGCTAGGAGTACGAGATTCCTGACGGCTTCACTCACAAGGGCCATAGGAACGTGCAAGCCCACTCACCACAACAAGGTGATGATCCAGCAAGTGAGGGCAGCTAATAGAGCTGGTAGCAACACCCAGCACCCTTGGGCAGGCCCCTGGGGACAAGTGTCCTACAAAGACCTATTAACATCCATTGGAGGGGATTTGAAATGGAAGGCAGCTCACAGATGCATTTCACAGATTGCTGTAATACTGCCCTCAAACTCTCCCTCATTCCAGCATTCGCATGCCTGATGGAAAGTCCCATCAGCTGCTATTTACATTTAATAAAAGATTCATGCAGCTTGAAGAGATGTATTTAGTGTAATTTGGACCCAAAAATCACGGAAGACTAAATTTCTGATTCTCTTTTCCTGTTCATGTTACTCTTCCGGCTTTGTTTCCACAGGCAAGGAAGGCCAAAAGAAAAAATTATTTATCTCCATGTTCAAACCTCAGATGCGGCAACTAATTAAGAAGAGCCATTTTCTGCATGATTTTCGCTTGATTTGGCATTAAAGAAAAATGGAGCAAGAGAGCAAACACATGCACACAGGCTGTCGTAATTTTTTGAACTTTCTTTATCCTCTGATTCTTTGCTGCTTATTCACAACTACAGTGTGTTTTTGACACTCTGTGAGACTGGAGGGAAGTTTATCGATCAGGGATGGGAAACTAATCTTCCAAAGGTTGTTGGACTCCAAATCCCATCAGCCCAAGCCAGCATGGCCAATAATCAAGGGTGATAGTGGTCATAGTCCAGCAACATCTGGAGGGCTATAGGTACCCTTTCCCAGGGGACTTAAACAGTACACAGTCTGACCAAACTACAGGTCCAGTTAAAGTGTGGAGAAGCCCTAGGTCTTCCCTTGATTGCACCACACTGGGCTGGGCTATGCTAATAATGAAGTAAGAGCGCAGCCACACAAATCCTCCACCCACGTTCTTTTCCTAGGTAGGACTAGTGGAAGGTAAATCCCAATAAATGAACTTGGCTTTCTTTGGAGTAAACATTGGACCAGGCTTTGGAGGACTACAAAAGATAAATAAATAGAAGACTTGTCAAAGTCCATTATGGCAAAGTTTGACAGTTTGTATTGAATGAGTAACAAGAGATGTGGGTTGAATGAGTAACAAGAGATGTGGAAATCAGTTTATGAGAACGAAACTTGCTTTAGAATTTGGCGTTGTTTTCACAGAGTTTACAGCCAGAACAATACTAGCAAAGGATAGACTCAAACCCTACATGATGAAATTCTGTATGTGGTTTGGGAAACAAAAATGAATGGGAATAATTCATTGCATCAGGAAATAGACAGTTTCTAAAGAAAAGGAAGTCATTTACATCATTTTGCACTGCATTCAATATTTAGAAGGACCAATACTGTGCAACAATTATCCCCATAAAAATGTTCTGATTCTGGCTATCTAGTTCACTTCACCTACAGACTTTGGGTGCAATCTGGCCCAATTTAAATGTATTTTAAGCCTCACTATGGAGTTAGGCAAATACTTAAATCAGGAATGAAAGACAAAGAAAATTCTCAAAGTTCTTAATTTTGGTCAGTTCTTAATGTAGCGTTCTGTGTGCCTCATCTCATGTGCTCATGTGAGTGCACAAACCCCTCCTTGTCCCCATCTTGTCCATCCATTTCAGTTATCTAATGATGTAAGCTGTTTTCTCAGCTCATGCCAATTTCTCAGTGTGAAATTCCAAGCATTCTAGACACTCATCCAGGATTCATGTTTCCTTTGGGAATGAGCCACTGTGGAGACTGTGGTTTCTTTATGATATATGGTTTCTTTACACATATATGTAAAGATGGCGGCTAATGGATTGAAGTTGAATCCTGACAAGACAGAAGTATTGTTTTGGGGGGACAGGGGGCGGGCTGGTGTGGAGGACTCCCTGGTCCTGAATAGGGTAACTGTGCCCCTGAAGGGCCAGGTGCGCAGCCTGGGAGTCATTTTGGACTCACAGCTGTCACAGCTGTCCATGGCGGCGCAGGTCAATTCTGTATCCAGGGCAGCTGTCTACCAACTCCACCTGGTACGCAGGCTGAGACCCTACCTGCCCACGGACTGTCTCGCCAGAGTGGTGCATGCTCTAGTTATCTCCCGCTTGGACTACTGCAATGCGCTCTACGTGGGGCTACCTTTGAAGGTGACTCGGAAACTACAACTAATCCAGAATGCGGCAGCTAGACTGGTGACTGGGGGCGGCCGCCGAGACCACATAACACCGGTCTTGAAAGACCTACATTGGCTCCCAGTACGTTTCCGAGCAGAAGAAGAAGAAGAAGAGTTTGGATTTGATATCCCGCCTTTCACTCCCTTTAAGGAGTCTCAAAGCGGCTAACATTCTCCTTTCCCTTCCTCCCCCACAACAAACACTCTGTAAGGTGAGTGGGGCTGAGAGACTTCAAAGAAGTGTGACTGGCCCAAGGTCACCCAGCAGCTGCATGTGGAGGAGCGGAGACGCGAACCCGGTTCCCCAGATTACAAGACTACCGCTCTTAACCACTACACCACACTGGCACAATTCAAAGTGCTGGTGTAGACCTTTAAAGCCCTAAACGGCCTCGGCCCAGTATACCTGAAGGAGCGTCTCCACTCCCATCGTTCTGCCCGGACGCTGAGGTCCAGCGCCGAGGGCCTTCTGGCGGTTCCCTCATTGCGAGAAGCAAAGCTACAGGGAACCAGGCAGAGGGCCTTCTCGGTAGTGGCGCCCGCCCTGTAGAACGCCCTCCCATCAGATGTCAAAGCGATAAATAACTACCTGACATTTAGAAGACATCTTAAGGCAGCCCTGTTCAGGGAAGTTTTTAATCTGTGATATTTTACTGTATTTTTGGTTTCTATGGAAGCCGCCCAGAGTGGCTGGGGAAACCCAGCCAGATGGGTGGGGTACAAATAATAAATTATTATTATTATTATTATTATTATTATTATTATTATTATTATTATTATATACAACCTGAGCCTATGATGGAGGGGCTCACACAATTAACACTCCAGTAAGGTCCTGCTTCTCCTATAGCCACAGCCTTGGATTCAAGCAGAAATCAAACATTGTACTCTGCCTCTCTGGTTTCCAACCTGTAACTTTACTTCTGGGTCGCATTGTTGTTGTTTAGTCGTGTCCAACTCTTTGTGACCCCATGGACCAGAGCACGCCAGGCATTGCATACATTTTCAACTCTAAACTCTGGCTTTTGTCCTCATTATATGCAAGTTGGGGGAACCCCACCCATTTGCCATCTCACACAGAGCCCCCTCTCCTTTGTTTTCTTAGTGACTCATGGCCGTTCCTTTGTTCTCTTAATGGCCCATCACCCTGCAAAAAGAATGCCCTCAGAACAATAGATATTCAGCCAAGTTTGACGATAGATGGACAGATGGCCAATCAGACTGTATCATCACAACATAATTTGAATTAGGGTCATTTCTAAGAACTATTTTTTTAAAATGTGCACTATATGCTACCTTTACTCATCCATTTAACAGATGCACACACAGGACAAAAATATATATATTTATTTTTTTAGTATAATGACCTTTACATTACAGTCAGTTAAAGTCCTCACGGCTTTATTTCCTAGACAAGCTGGTTAATTCTCAGAGCCTTTTACAAACTATAGCTGAAAGAACACTGATTTTCAAATAATACTTTCCATTTGCTTGTCATTAATTGAGCTGCTTAGCACGGTGCCGATGAAAGTTTTCTACATCCTCGATGGTCTCAGGCAAAGTTCTCCCTTTGGTCTCAGGCAGAAATAGCACTGATCCGGCAGCAATCAAACCAACTGCAGCTGGCAATGAAACACATAAGAGGCAGTTAAGACCCAACATACAGCAATGCACATTTTAAAAAACCAGCTCACTGTAAATCACGAAGGTAGTTCAATATGCAGACCACCCCCTTAAATTTAGCACAACTCACTTCCAAGCTTAGGAAGATTGGGGAAATCAAGAACTCACAAACAGGACAAGGAAGTGCTGAACAAAACTTAATAATAGACAGGATGAGAAAAAAGCAAACTGGAGTGCAATACAGGTAAGAGAGAGAGACTTGTTTGGTGACTCAATATCCTTGGTAGTTGGTATTCAGCATACTGTACTTTAACTGGAGGTGTGGTCCTCCTTAAAGAATAGGTTTGCAGCTTAGGAGTGCAGTTTCTTTATGGCCTTTAAACTGGATGCTCTGCTAATGTCCACTGGGCCAGAGTTTTCCCACCAACTTAGGCTAATTTGTCAGTTGTGGTCCCTGGTGTTCTGAGACCGCCTTGCTCTAGTCCAGGGGTCAGCAAACTTTTTCAGCAGGGGGCCAGTCCACTGTCCCTCAGACCTTGTGGGGGGGCCGGACTATATTTTGAAAAATAAATAAGAACGAATTCCTATGCCCCACAAATAACCTAGAGATGCATTTTAAATAAAAGCACACATTCTACATGTAAAAACACCAGGCATGCCCTACAAATAATCCAGAGGTGCATTTTAAATAAAAGGGCACATTCTACTCATTTAAAAACACACTGTCTGTGGGCCAGATTTAGAAGGCGATTGGGCCGGATCCGGTCTCCAGGTCTTAGTTTGCCTACCCATGCTCTAGTCATAAATGCTATTGCAATATCAATGTACAGTACTGCAATGTTTTTAATATGGGAGCTGTAAAAGCTACTCAGAAATTTCAGCTGGTTCTAAACATGACAGCTAGATTTGTTATTGAAATGTGCCTGTCTGAACATATTTCATCCATGTTAACAGAAGTTTGTTACTAATCAGTCTGTTTCTAGGCACAATTCAATGTGTTCGTTTTGACCTTTACAGGCTAAAGAACTTATAACTAGCATATTTCTTTCACAATTTTTTAAGATTTGCTTCAGACATCCTCTCCTTTGCATTGTCTTCAAAAGGTTAGGTGGCTGGGTCTTTGCAGAGGTGGCCCCCTATTTGTGGAAAGTCTCCCTAGGAAGATTTTAAAGTAGAAAAGTAGAATAGAGATATTTTGATTTTTCATTAAAAGAACAACATACTCAAGCAACTCAAAATAGAGGATTACTTACTAAAAACTACAAGAGGTAGCTCGGACCAGATTTCTGATAGTCTATAGACAATAAACGGGGAAATTATTCCACCGAAGTCACACATGGATGAACAGACCATCACACCGAGGTTTCTGATACAAAAGAAAAAACACACATTATATTATAAGTTTGTGTGTGTAGGAATTCAGACCTCAAAGCCAACATAAAACTTTATCCTTATCAACTGTGGTTTTCCTTACAGAGGAGAAAGAGATGCCTACATTCCAACCATTTTTTGGAGCAGATAGGAAGGTAAATATTTCCATAGTTACTGCTTGGTTACAAGAAAAATCCAGCTCATCGCCAAACCTTTAATTCTAAGAGGTCTTATTTATTAAGACCACCATGCTGGGGTGTTGGGTGTTCCCAAATTCCCCTTGAAGCAAAAAATCCAGAAATATGTTCACACATTATGTGAACACTGGTATAAGCTGTCTTTCTACACACATGAAAGTAAAAGAGTATATTTGTGTTGATTTGTATAGCTCAACTATTGTGCAGACTGGTACACAGATTATACACTTGTTGAATGTAACATGTAAAAACCCCTCAAGAAATAGCAGTACAGATTTCAGTTTCTTTTCAGTGAGAGTGCACAGGAGAGTCTTATACCTGTAAATCTGTGATAATGTAAATGTGCATTAATCTATATAAATCAATTTCAGAAGGCACCTTTCCTTTGGTCATCAAAAGACCTACCTGAGAAATGTGGGGTACAATTCAGTATTGACAAAACAAACCATTTCAAATGCCATCGTGACTCCTAATCTGCCGAAGCAAGATGTAATAACCTTTAGCCAGTGCATATCTGGAAAGGAAAGATTAATATATAATTTTCTAAAGGCTCATTGAAGGAAGGCAAATAATACTGATGACATAACAGATTATCATTTCCCAGAGAACTGGTGGTAGATAAATTTCTGATTTCTTAGCAGTGAGAAGAGCTAATATATGGTTGTTGAGCTCTTTTGCCCAAAGTTGTTCACAAAGAAGTTGGACGCTTTTAAGCTATTTCTGAGGAAAATCAGCAAATGACACTGCTGACATGGGCTGCCTGGACACTGCTTGTGGCTGCAGTATTCCAGATATGGATGAGAGCACACTAAAGACTTACGTTGTCCTTGAGATACTGGCTTTATATACAAATATTCAAACAGAGTCTAGTGGAAGGAAATAGACTGTTTCAGTAGACATCAAATACATATCCAGTCAACTCACAGCTCCAGCACCTCATTCTATCTGCAAAGTGCTCTTAACTGTTTCTCTGATGCCTCGACTCTCTGATGGCTGTCTCATTCCAAAAGCTGGAGAGCAATTTCCAGCCATCAAGACACCATTGCAATGTGCGCATGACTGTATCTTATCAACCAGCTCTTCAAATTCTTGTAGTGCTTTGCTGGTGGTGAAGCCTCATGGACTGTGCACTAGCAACAGCAGCACACCATCTGACCTGCACTCCAATATCTGGGGCTTGCGGTTCCACTCTGCCTTAATGGAGGCAGCCCCCACGACAGCAGGAGATCTTAGGCAAAGGAAAAACAAGGGTGGTTGAGGGTAAATCATCCTTGCAAATTCCCCCCAGGGACAAGGGGAACAAGCTTCACTCACAGTCCATCTTGGTACCTGGCTCTCACTCTGGCATGGAATGAGGGGGCAGGGAGGCACTGAGTGCAAAATCACTTTGCCTGGCAAAAACCCTCCAACGCTGCCATTAAGAAGCAGAGGTTCTCCTGTTCATTAGAGCTCAATTGGACTAAAGTACAGGCACACACTAGAAGAGATGAAATCACAAACTGTGGAACAAACCAACTGCAAGGACTTTAAGGTTTGAATTTGAGATAATACTTCATTCAGTGCAAAAGATGGTGGGGACACTATGGTTTCTTTATTTAAAGTTTTCTTCTCTACATTTATGATTCTGCAACCCTCCTCTGAATGTTTGTTTAAATTATCTTTGTACAGTGCTACCTCGGGTTAAGTACTTAATTCATTCCGGAGGTCTGTTCTTAACCTGAAACTGTTCTTAACCTGAAGCACCACTTTAGCTAATGGGGCCTCCTGCTGCCGCCGTGCCGCCGGAGCACGATTTCGGTTCTCATCCTGAAGCAAAGTTCTTAACCCGAGGTACTATTTGAGGGTTAGCGGAGTCTGTAAGCTGAAGCGTATGTAACCTGAAGCGTATGTAACCCGAGGTACCACTGTACAAGTAAGGATGGGAGAAATTGGATTATAAATATGGAATGCACTCCAATATCCTGCGTGGTGTTGCATACTGTCCTGAGTGCAGTTTTTTAACAATAAACTAATTCACAAATGACTGCAGTGCAAAAGTCAAGTGGTGCTCAACATCTTGTGCAAGACTGTGGGGAATGTGCAGTGCAACCCGAATTTTCACTGCCGCATCCTTTGTAGTACAATATTAGAAGGAATACCTAGTTACTTCTTGAATGACATGGTGCAACAGCTTCTGTTGGCCATATTGACTGAGCGTTATTACCACCTTACATATGTGTCAGGGAACTGCCATCGGACGGAAGGGAGGTGAAAGGGCTCACACAGGTTGGGAGAGACGCAGCAGCTGAAGAGGGAACCAACAGGGAGGTGAAAGGGCTCACACAGGTTGGGAGAGACGCAGCAGCTGAAGAAGGAACCAGCAGGGGAGAGGAGCTGAGCTGGAGGGATGGCTCAGAGACACTTCCAGCGAAAACAGTGGGGAGGTTTCAGAACCTCCTGTAAGAACACCCACTCCTCGCCGGAAACTGTCACGCAGAGATTCCAGAAGACGTGTTTCCGTTAAGGAGCTTTTATGTTGGAAGCGATTACGAAAGCAACCACTGTCGGAATCTGCTAGTGACTAGAGCAGCCATGTCTGAGGGGCTCCGTCACAGACAGAGGTTTGTGGACTTGAACAAACTCTGAGGGGATACGATTTTACGCACAAGCAGCTCATCATCCCATCACAGCATTCCGACAGTCTTTGAAAGCAGCTTGTGCAGGAGAAGGCATCATGAGCAACCCAGCCGGAACCGGAGAAGCAGGAGCTGGAGCGGGTCCAAGCCTGGAAGAAAGGTACCAGATGTTGGAGGTCCAGCTAGCGATGCAGACGGCGAGGCTTGAGGAGAGGAGGGCTCAGGATGCAGACAAAGGGGAAAGCCACCCAGTTCGCCAGAAAGGTACCAGGATTGGTGCAGAAGTTTGGGGGAGCCCAAAACTATCATGGTTTTCGGACAGAAATGCAATATGCCCTCAATCTGCAGTTTGATGAATTCCTGACGAGGAATCACGAGTGGCTTTCGTGATTGAGCATCTTGAAAAGGGGGCGAGAGACTGGGTTAGACCCCTGATGGCAGCGAATAGTGACGTCTTAAAGGACACGATGAAGTTCTTTCGCGCCATGGATCTGATGTTTTCCAGCGATATTGAAAAGGGAGTGGTGCGCAGACAGTTAATGGGTTGCAAACAGGGGAGCCGATCTGTCCGTGAGTACTGGACTGAGTTCACCATGCTTGTTCACAGATTGGGGTGGGACTTATCGGCGGAACCCATTCAAATGCTCTTTGAAGAAGGGCTTTCTTCGGCTGTGAAAGACGAACTTTCCCGGGCGCCCAGGGCGGAGTCTATGGACCAGCTGACCAAATCAGCGCTGGCCATAGGAGCGCGCCAGGAGGCGAGAGCATTGGAGAGGCGGGAAGGGAAAGGGGAACGTTGGAAGGAGTTCCGCATTCCAGACATTGCAGAGCCAACTTTCCCACCGGCAGAGCCGATGGAAATCGGAACAGCGCGCGCGCGCAGTTTCAAAGCCCAGTGAGGGGGCAAAGAAGGAGGGAAAAGGCGCCCGGAAATGCTATCTCTGCCAACAGCCAGGTCACTTTGCCAGAGTCTGCCCCCAGAGGAAAGAATGGCAAGGGATGGTAGGAGCTGTGGATGGAAGAGAGGAAATATACCGGAGCAAGTAAAAGCCAACGCCTGGCTGCCACTGTCAGGGCACAGCAGCCAGGCCAAAGAGCAGTGAGAGTGCCCACGCCAGAACCTCCTAAACCCGCCCTAGTGATAGAAGTGACGTTAGAGCTGCCAAACGGACACCCTCTAAAGATAAAGGCGCTGTTGGACTCAGGCAGCTCCTGCAATTTCATGAGCAAAGAGTTTGCAGCTGAACACCAGATACAGACAATCCCTTTAAGCAGCCCCCTGCAGGTAACCACGATCGATGGCAGGGAGCTGTTGGGTGGAGAAGTCAGCTTGCAGACCGTCCCAATGATAATGAAGGTAGCAAGGCACACCGAACTGATAGCTTTTAATGTGGCCACCTTGGGAGGAGCTCCCATTATATTGGGGATGAGCTGGCTAGCGTTACATGATCCGCTGGTGGGCTGGCATCAGAGAGTGGTTTCTTTTGGTTCAGCACATTGCTTAGAACACTGCAAAGAGGGAAAGGGTTTGGCAGGGGTCCAAGCCGCCCTAGCAGGGACTGAAGTAACAGAGAACGTGAAGGTACCACGACAATATGCAGATCTCCGTGACGTCTTCAGCGAAAGGGAAGCTGACCAACTACCCCGCATAGACCCTTTGACTGTCAAATCAACTTACTCCCTGGAGCACAGCTCCCTGTAGGCAAGCTGTACGCCATGTCAGACAGAGAGATGCAGGAGTTAAGAGAGTTCATTGACAAGAACCTGAAGAGAGGGTTCATCAGAGAGTCCAGGGCGGTGGGGGCAGCCCAGTGTTTTTGTGGATAAGAAAAACACGAACAAGCCGAGGCTGGTGTGTGACTTCAGGGCCTTAAATGCAGTGGCAGAACCAGTAGCCTTCCCTATGCCCAGGATTGACGACATTTTGACAAGGGTGCGGAAGGGAAAGATTTTCACAAAGCTGGACCTAAGGGGGGCGTACAACCTGGTACGAATAAGGAAGGGGGATGAATGGAAAACCACTATGTTCACCCCTTTAGGGGCATTTGAATATTTGGTTATGCCCTTCGGCCTACAAGCAGGCTCCGCAACATTTCAATCGTTTATGAACCACGTCCTGGGGCCTTTGCTTTACAAGAATTGTGTGGCCTTTTAGACGACGTGTTGGTGTATTCTGAGAATGAGGAGCAGCATGTGAGAGACGTCAGAGAAGTGTTGAGCAGGCTGCAAGCCAACCAGCTGTGGGTGAAACTGGAGAAGTGTCAGTTTCATACCAAGGAGGTGGAATTCCTGGGGTATCGCCTGTCAGACAAGGGATTGGCCATGGATCCCGGCAAGGTCCAGGCGGTACTGGAATGGAAAACACCCAAAACAAAGAAGGATGTGCAGAGGTTCCTAGGATTTGGGAACTTCTATCGTAAGTTCATCCGAAACTTTGCCCACCTGACGGCGCCCATTACGGACTGTCTCAGCAGTAAGAAGAAGTTCGTGTGGACTGAGGAGGCGGAGCGAGCATTTGAGGAACTAAAAGGGCCTTCGCCTCGGAACAACAACTCCTGCATGTGGATTTACAAAAACCGATGAGAGTGGAAACTGACGCATCAGACAGAGCGATTGGGGCGGTGCTTCTGCAGCCAGGCAAGAAGGGGTCAGAGTGGAGACCGTGTGCCTTTTTTTCGCGAAAGCTGAACAAATCCGAGAGGAACTACACGGTGTATGACCGAGAACTACTAGCCATTTATGAGGCGTTCCGGAGATGGAGGCACCTGCTAATTGGCGCACAACATAAGGTGCAAGTGTGCACTGACCACAAGAACCTAGAGTATTGGAGGACGGCACGAGTGCTCAACCAACGGCAAGTGAGATGGGCCCAGGAGTTCTCCAAATTTAACTTTGAGATTAGTTACGTGCCAGGCCCAGAGAACATTAGGGCGGACGCTCTCTCACGCAAACCTGAATATTTGGAGGGGAGGGGGCACCCGAAGAGAGACATGTCATTCCAGAAGACCGCTGGGTGTGTGGGGCGGCATTGGTGGGACAAAGAGAACTGGTAGAGGAAACAGAGAATGATGAATACGCCCAGAATAAGCTCAGAGGTCTTAGGGGTGATGGAGAGGAACCAGGTGGTTTCGAGGAAAGAAATGGAGCTTTGTATTAAAAGGGGGCACTGTATATCCCTGAAGGAGAGTTAAGGGGGGGGGTACTCAAGCAGTTGCACGACAGCCCTACGGCGGGGCATTTTGGACAACACAAAACCATGTGGTTGGTCACCAGGGAATTTTGGTGGCCTAAGGTGAGGGAAGATGTACGTGAGTATGTAAGAGGGTGCGAGCAATGCCAGCGAGCCAAAGGGGAAAGGCGGGCGCCGGCGGGCTATTAGAACCCTTACCAACCCCAGAACGACCTTGGGAGGCAGTGTCGATAGATTTTATGACTGATCTGCCGAAGTCCAAAGGGAAAACAGCCATCATGGTGGTGGTAGACCTACTAACAAAGATGTGCCACTTTGTAGCTTGCTCGCATGCAGTCAC